GCCCTTAGGGGGCCTGCAGCTCTTTCTCTCTCTACCCAGGTGCCCAAGTCAGTGCCGAGCAGCCGGCAAGGCCTGTTGTACGAGGTTTGCTCGAATGAAATCTCTTTGTTTTCCTCCCAGAGGGTCGGCTTTTGCCTATTTTTCCATGTTTTCTTTCCTGCTTCTCTCCTGTCCCCTCTTTCTCTTTCTCTCCAGCACCCGCAGTGTAGGAGCAGCAGGACGTTTGTGACGCTTAACCAAAGGAAGGGCTGACTAACTGGATAGTCACCCCAGTTTAACAAGCAGGCGCTTGTCACCCACACACTCCGTGTCATCCACTTTCGAGGAGGAGCTGGGGGTGCTGGCCCCGCGCTGGCTGGTGTCCTGCGTGATCTGAGCCTGACGCACAGCACCCCGAGAGCAGCCACCCCCTTGGGCTCAGGCTGCGTTTCCACCCGCGTCTAGGCCGGCACCGTCCTGGGTCCCTGCGCCCCGGCTTCCCTATGGGGGTGATGGAGCGGTGGGGCTGCCCCCCCCCGCCGCACCCCCAAAGCGGGCCCTCCCGCCGCAGCCCGGGAGGGGGCGGTGTGGCCTGTCCCTGAGCAGCAGCCGCCGGCGGCCGCGACAGCAGGGGGCGCGAGCGGCCCAGCTTTCCGCCCGGGGGCGCGGCCGGGGGAGCCCCCCCATCCCAGGCGCTCGTGGCACCATCTATTCCACTGCCGCAAAACCCTAAAAAACGAGGTTCTGGGATCTTTTCCCTGCCGCGGGGACGGCCGCCGCGGAGGGCAGCTGGCCCCCAGGCTCACGCGGGGAACCACTGAACCACCTTCCCCGCTTGGGCACCCCGGGCCCGGGCGCGCGTGCACGCGCCCCTCCGGCGCGCACCCCCAGCCCGCCCTGGTGGCGGATCCCGGGCGTCTCCAGCCTCAGCCCAGAGCCACCCTCGCTGAGGGTCTGAGGTGCTGGGCGCTCCCCTGGGGCTCGGCTGGGCTGCGTCCTGCCCCGCGCTGCCCTGAGATGCCGCCTCTGGGAGTGTCAGTGCCTGAGGCTTGACACGCAGCGCTGGGCAGAGCAGGGTGGGCACAGCGGGCGTGTGTGTGTGTGTGTGTGTAGGGTGGGTACAGCGGGCGTGTGTGTGTGTGTGTGTGTGTAGGGTGGGCACAGCGGGCGTGTGTGTGTGTGTGTGTGTAGGGTGGGCACAGCGGGCGTGTGTGTGTGTGTGTAGGGTGGGTACAGCGGGCGTGTGTGTGTGTGTGTGTGTAGGGTGGGCACAGCGGGCGTGTGTGTGTGTGTGTAGGGTGGGCACAGCGGTCGTGTGTGTGTGTGTAGGGTGGGCACAGCGGTCGTGTGTGTGTGTAGGGTGGGCACAGCGGGCGTGTGTGTGTGTGTAGGGTGGGCACAGCGGTCGTGTGTGTGTGTAGGGTGGGCACAGCGGGCGTGTGTGTGTGTGTGTGTGTGTAGGGTGGGCACAGCCGGGGTGTGTGTGTGTGTAGGGTGGGCACAGCCGGTGTGTGTGTGTGTAGGGTGGGCACAGCCGGTGTGTGTGTGTGTAGGGTGGGCACAGCCGGGGTGTGTGTGTGTGTGTGTGTGTGTGTGCAGGGGTGCGGGTGGAAGCTGGCGGCGCAGCGCAGGGAGCAGCGCTTTCCCAGGGCGAGGAGGAGGCCCACATAGAGCCCCAGGAAGGGGGCGAGTGAGAGCTGAGCTGCAGCAGCAGGAAAGGGCGCCCTGAATGGGAGCCTTGTGTGTGGCCCTGCGGTGCTGACTCACCAGGACTCCGGGAGGGAAAACACGCCGGGGATGAAGAAGGGGCTTGTATGCTGCGGGCACACCCCCAAACCACCCTACCACCCCTGTCTGCTCCGGGGCCCAGACAGCTCCACAGGCCTTGGTGTGAGTTGGGCGGGATGGGGGAGCAGGGAGGGAGGGCTGGCGCTGCAGGGAAGCAAAAGGCCCTTTCTGCTGCCTCTCGGCTAGGGAAGGAGGCCGGAGCGGGTGTCTCAGCCGCCCCCCAGCTCCCCCCACGCGGGCGTGGCAGGTCAGACTCAGCAGGGAGGGGCGGAGGCTCAGGGCGGCAGCGGCTCTGACACACCTGAGGGCCGGCCCGCGTGAGTCAGTGCACCGGGGTGGCTGCTAGACAGGAGGACGCAGGCCGGGCGGGAGCGCCACCACCCGCCCCAGTCCCGGAGTCACGTCCGCTGTCAAACCGGTTCCGAGACGGGACAAGAGGATTTCTGTGGCAACAGGGCCGGCCGGCGCCGCAGGCCAGCCGGCAGAGGGCAGGGCCTGGAATATAGGGCGGCCGGGGACGAGATCAGAGCAGGTGAGGGAGGGAGGAAGCCTGAGGGAGCAGGCGGGCTGGGCCAGGGTTCTGGGCCCAAGGTCATCTCAGGCAGAAGGCCCAACGGGTTTGGCAGTTTGGGCTCCGCCGTCCAGCAGACAGGTCAGCTCGGGCGTCGTCTCGCTCTTCTGGGCTTCGTTCTCCTGGAGTCACGTGGGACGACTCCCCGCGCGGGCCACCCGCCCCTCTCCTTCCGTCCACCCAAGCCCCGACTCCTTCGGCATCCGTCCGAGCTGGAAGCCTCAGGAGCGAGCTCAGCAGTGGATGCCTCCTCGGGTGACACGCCAGGCCGCAAGCTCCCGGGCTTACGCCTCCAGTGTGTTGCTCCTGCCCTGGCTGCAGCGTGGTCAGGCGCGGGGCACGGACTCGAAGGCCACACGGATGAAGGGGGGACCCCAGGCTGCCCTGCTGCGGGACGCCGGGCAAGCGTCTGCCTTGGTAGCTTTCATGACCTGTGGGTCAAGTGGGAACCCACCCCGTTTCGCACTTGCAATGGTGCAATGTAGTAATTGTAAAAAACCCGCACACTTGGGGCCACATGAAATACTCGGGAAGAAAATGCCTCCACCCTCCTTTACAGGACTTGGTCATGGCCCAAAGGAGGCGTCTGGGATGGAGGTTGGGGTGCTGGAGGCTTCTAGGGGGTGCCCTCGGGAGCCCCACGGCTGGAAGAGAAGGGAGGGAAGAGTTGAGCTGGAGCGTCCACAGTCACAGTAGGGAGCTCGAGTCAACGCTGCAGGACTCTGAAACCGGGGTGCCCCTGCAGCGTCCTCCTGACTTGGGGCAAGAGGCCCAGGACAAGAGGCGCATCGGGCGAGCTGTCCACGGGCGAGGTGGTGTCGGTCCAGTTAAGGCAACTCCCCCAGGGGCTGGCAGCGGAGGGCCCTCTACCCTCAGAGGCCCCCGCCGGGTCTCACAGCAGCCCCAGCCGGGGCAGCACCCCAGCCCCCTGGCGGCAGGCAGGCTAGCGGAATTCCAGCGCCCGTCTCTGACCTCATCCTAGAGCGAGACAGGCCAGCGGGAACGCAACGCCAACATGGAGACGGCAGGATTCTCGGTGGCGAATGCCTCGGAGACAGGAGACGTTTGCTCTAACTTTTCCCGGCCTGTCCAGAGCTGTCACCTCTGTTTTCCCCTCGAGCTTTCGCTGGCACCACTTTCGATAACCTTATTTGGCATTTTCACCGCTCCTGTTTTTCCCGTTGTTTCTGCTCATGTTTTTGGTTAACATTTTGCTTCCCCCATCAGACGGCGTCACCTGGGGGCAGGGAACTCGTGTTGTCTGTAGCCCTCTGGGTTTCGGGCTCCTCTTAGGTATTTAAGAAACATCTGCTGCTGGAGGGGAATAAGGCTTTATTTTTGTTGAGTTTATCTGACCTGATGAAGGTTTCCTGGCATAGGTTAGGTCTGATAACCCACTCCTGGGCGGGGGGCGGTCAGGGTGAGCGGGAGGAGCCTCATGGCAAACCTGCGGGGATTAAACCGGATCCAGGTTAAGAATCCCAGGAAGCGTTTTCTCAAGCCCGGCCTTGGTCGGCAGAAGAGCAGCCACAAATGCCTCGGGGTTTCGTTTAGGAAACAGCAGACCAGTGGGGTTTGAACCCTGGTTCTGTACTGAGGGCCCTCGCCCGCCCTGGTCCTCCCTCATCTGTACACCCCCCTGTGAAGCTCGGTCAGGTAACGCACGTGACATCAGCAGCACGGTGCTTGCGCCCGAGCACACACGCGTTACTTCGAGTATCGCTGACTTTCAGAAACCAGGTTCAGGGGTGCCAGGAAACACTTTCTCAAAATGTGATCCTCAAACCCCAGGCACCAACGGGTCCCTAGGCCCAATCCCCAGGAAGCCTCAGTTTTAACAGGCTCCTCAGGTTATTTACGCATCAAGTTCGAGAACCACGACCTGCTCTTTTCTTCCTTTGCTTGCACCAACTCATCGGTCAGCGCCACGCAGCAGGTGGTGGTGGACGGGCGCTCACGTTTTCCCAACTAGTTTTATAGCAATTATATGAACTACTCCTCAGGACAGTATTCACCACTTCCCTCTGCCCCATCGTGATGAAGAAACGTCCTATTCTGAAGCCATTTTCAAGACATGTGACGTTCTGTTTCAAGGACGAAGCGCCAGAAGTGCGCTTGGAAATCACACGCGCAAATGGACAAGGCAGCGTTGCTGACGGGAGGCTGTTACGGGAAAACAGAAATACCCAGTGTTTGTTGAAACGATCATTAATTGGCTTAAATGCTGGAAACTAAAGCTATATAAACAGTCACAGTTTGAACATCTTTTGTGCATGAAAGGATTTCCAAGTGCTTTTGTCTGGCCACAACTTCCATTTGCTAACAGCGCAACAGGGCAGCGCTGGACTAGAAGGCACGGAGGCATTAGCCGTTTGTAAAATGAGGGAGCAGGCCAAGGTTGGGCTCCTTGAACTACAGTAGAGGAATCACAGGTGTCTTCAGGGTCTTTGGGTCCCGTGAAGCCAGCAACCAAATTTTGCATAGAAACATATTCATTGGGGGGCGGGGGAAGGGGTTGAGTTAGCCTGGCATCTCTTCAGATTCTCAAAAGGTCCAAAGCCCCCGCGTGGTTTAAGATGGCAGGCTGTGTTCTGTTCCACACTCTGTCTCTGGTGAATCCTATCACCCCCCACCCACCACCCCCCACCCCCGCATCTCTGGTCTATACCCCAGCTCTTGTATGCATAAATAAATAAATCTTAAAAAAAAAAAATCAAATCACAGGCCAGATTACTGTGAAAGCCGCTTCCAGTGCTAAGATTCTAAAGAAGACCAACGTCTTGGCTCCTTTTGGGGTCTGACCTGGATGGGTCACTGGCTTGATTTCTTTACAGTCACGAGTGCGCCCTTCAGCACCATCTGGTGCTGCCCAAGAAAACAGGCCCCCGGTGCTTTGCACAAACAAGACTATTTCTTCCCCATGCGATGGGATTTAACTTGTTTTAATGTAGTCTGCTATAAAAATGGATGAAGACTTCTGCATGGTACATCTGGCTTTACAAATGTTAACTACTTAATGCTTGTGTTAGGTTGCACATCATTATAACCTGTTGTCCAGTAACACGGTAACATAGCTTTCGTAACATGAGTTAATACCAAAATTGTGAATCATGGAACTTTTTACTTAGCACACACACAATCTACAGCAAACTTAAATACTAATCTCTAATACCTAACTGGATTATTGGATCCATTGCAGTATTGTGCTTATTTATCTCAGAAGATAGGCAACTAGCAAAAATACACATTTTTTTTGCATTTCCCCACCCCCATATTACACTGTAAAAGAAATACATTATTCAGTGCACTTCCTAAGAAATAAACTTCCTTATAATCTCTCTCTATATATATATCTATGCCAAAACAAAGGGAGAGCACAATGCAACTTTTAAGATTACCATTTAAAGCAAGAGAGGTAATACTACGCTGGGACTATAGCCAGTTCTCTTGTTGGCCATGTGTGAAGTAGTTTAATGTATGATTGGTTTGGACTGTTTAAGATGCCATCTTCACCATGTTGGCAGACACCCCTGGGGCAGAGCAGAATTTAATTTTTTATGTATTGACCTGGATGAAATCATAAACTATGGAGATACCAATATCCTCCACTGTGATCTAGAGAACCAACTTCTATCACCTGCCTTCCTCTCGTCAACCCATGTTGGATTAAGAGGAAATAGATTTAAATGACAGCAGGAGGCCTTCTCTATCCTTTACTTGATTGTATCACTGTGGACACATGACCACTTAGCCACCATGTCTACACTGGGCTGTGGGCTGTGCAGTGTAGAAGAGGGGTCAGTCGCCATGTTCTAAGCACTTTGTACTAGCCTGTAACTTGCAAAGCCTGGAGGCTTTTGTCCTCACACACTCACTATGATGGAAATGGGTTGGCAGGGTTGGCTCGACTTCGACAGTCTGTGCCAAAGGGAGAAGATTCTAGAATGGAGGATTTTGCAACTTGGCAGCTCATGAGCTATATCCAGCTGTAGAAGTGTTTGTTTAACCAGAAGTTTAAAATTTTTTGAATCAGTTCTTGACATTTAAAAATTTCATGTTTTTCATGAAAATTTGTGTTTCATAAAAATGTGAGCAGCCCTGGCCTAGAGCTCGTGCACGGCAGCAGCGGCTGGGGCTGAACAGCATGCGTCCCTTCTCAGGGGGGCTTGGGCACTACAGCTTGTTGCAGCTTCTGCCACTCCCAGTTGAGTTTTACTCACTGTTACGACCAGTGAGTTTTGTGACACTGGAGGGAGTGGCCCTTCCTTTTCACGATGCCAAAGACCTGACTTTATTTGGAATTTGCCCCCTCCCTGTGCACAAGAGTCCTCTTTTGAGTGATTGGGTCCCCAGCACATCTGGCTGCTTTGGTAGGTAATCTGAAGGTGCATTTCTACTCATCCTTTATGCTCTATTGCAAACTCCAAAGATATAATCACACTAATATTTATGTGTTTAAGTGTGTATGTTAAACACGCAAAGGGTTGTGTATCTATACAGATATATTTATACTTCCACTTAGGCAAAAGTTAATTTGGTTCCACAGATATAGACACCAAGTGCTGGCAGCTTGGAGAGTTAAGTATAACAGTTTAGTAAAACCTATGTGATTCTGACTTATAATATTACAAGGAGAGTGAATTTTATGTTATTGCTTTTTAGATTACAGAATAAAGATCTCATTCTGTGGCAAAACTTTTATACAGAACGAATAACCATTTCCTATTCAAGTAATAGCGATCGGAATCAGAAGTTCCTTACACAACAGTAGATGCCTGAAGACATTTTTGAATGGAGATGTGACTTCCCTCTATTCAAGAACTTAGGCAGGAAACTTGGGGTAACAAATTCTCAAAAGTACAAAAAAATCAGCACCCCAACTGCTTCATTGTCAGGAGGGTTTTCAAGGGCACTAGAAAGCTAGTTCCGGGATGAGCGCGCTCCCACGGCGCCCTCGCGGGTGCCTCTCCCTCAGCCTTGCTTCTCAACTCAAGGCTTGGGCTAAACAGAAGAAAAGAGGACTCAAAGCAGTGTTGGATTTTAACATTCAGGATTCACAGAGGATCTAATTTTCTGCAATAAAATGATCTGTTTTGTGTTTTTGCTGCAGAATCACATTCATATGGCAGTCTTATTTCAGGCACTTTTTAAACATGTTCATCTGGAATAAAAATCTGCATGAACCACGTCTGCATAATTCAAAATGAGTGTTGAGTGATTCTAGTCCCAAAATAGACAGCAAATCACCACCTGGTGCTCCACCAGCTTTTTCTATCGCAACACGATGGCGAAGGTCGAGCTCGAGATGTCTCTGAGGTGCCTCTCTAGCTTTAGTACAAAGATGGGAGTCATAAAAACCCAAACTACTCAGTGTCTACTTAAAAAAATACAAAAAGTTGAATTACACTAACTGTATTATACAGATGGTTTCCGCTACTATCAAAATAAATAACATGATCTGACTCGACGGTTTGACGCTGAGCTCTCGGATGAAATCTGACGGAATGTCAAGTGCGGAGCAGCCCCTCTGGGGACTAGCTGCTGGTCGGCAAAAGGATCTCAACGTCCTTGCCGTTGGCCACGACGGCATTGGAAGAGCAGCTGCCGGCGAGGTCTTCGGCGGCGCTCAGAGAGGACGCCGGGGTGTGAGTTTTGGTCAGTGGCGCGGCAGTGGACGGAGAAGGGGTGAGGCCGGGTTTTTTGGGTGGGATGGGTGGAGGATTTCCTCTCTCAGCTCGGGGGATGGTCGGGGACTTGATCCCCGGAGACAGGGGGCTCAGAGGACTGGACACTTTCCCTGGAGTAGGTGAATGGCTGGCGTCGCTTCTCGGGTTGGCAGAGCTGGCCAGATTCCGATAGTCTGTGCCGAAGGGAGAGCTGTTGGGAGAGACGGGCTTGATGGGCCCTTGTTGGCTAGTGAATCTGGAGAGCACCTGAGTGACTGTGTTTCGGGCCAACTGCTTGGCAGCAGAGTTGTCCATGAGGGTGGGGGACAGATCCCTGGACGGGGGGCTCTGCAGACCACTGGCCTGCTGCTCCTGATCTGCCTGGGACTGGAATTTGTGCCGAGCCGCGTGGAACCGCTGGTTGACCCCTACTTGGTAGGACGACTGGTAGCCGGGGCTGCTGGCGGAGGAGCCCAGCAAGCGCTTATTTAGCACTGGGGAAGAGCAAGGAGAGGACGTGAGTGAGGAGGAGGCAGTGCTGCTGGGAGAGAGGGAGCTCCCGCTGGAGGGGAGATGACTGGGCCCTGGGACTGGGGTGTCCACGCCCAGGGGGCACCCGCCGTTCTCCACCGCTTTCTCCTGGGCCCCGGGCTTCTCTCGTGGAGGCACTTGGTGTTCTACACTGCTGCCTGCAGTCGGCTCCTTGGAAGTTTGGATCTCTGGGTCAAAATGGCCATTGGCTTTTGCGTAACAGTAGGCAGGAGTGGTGGGACCAGGCGGCCCGGAGGCTGTCCCCTTGGCTATGTTGCTCCCCTGGGTTCTTTCGGCCTGAAAACTCTCCGTTTGGCAAAACACGGACACCAGCACAGGAGGCTCAGTCGCTGTGCCTTTGGCCACGGAGACCAGTTTCCTCGACAGCTCCCTGGGGCTGCTGTGCTGGGGAGAGGCCTCCAGGTCCTTCACTCTCTTCTTCAGACTCTCCATCTCTGTCTTCAGAGTCTTCGTCCGGTTCTCCTCCCGGTTCAGCTTTGCTCGCAGCTGTTCCCTTTCGATGTCAAACTCAGACAACTGCTTCTCCACCTGGGCCTCCGTCTGCAAGCCTCGCTTCCTCTCCGCCGCCAGCTCTTCCTCCAGCTTGCTCACGCGGCTCTTCTCCTTCTCCAGCTTCAGGCTCAGTTCCCCTGCCTTCTGGCCCTCCTCGGCCGCCTTGCTGGTGGCCTTCTTGCACTCGAGCACCAGCATGGAGGAGAGCTGCTTGTGGCGGGCGCGCTCCTCTTCCAGCTGACTGGACAGCTTCTTCTGCTCCTTTTCAAACTTCTTCACCTGGGACTTTTCAAATTCCAGCTGGAAAAAAAGCCAGCGCACATCTTGATTAGAGTAAGAATACAAAGGGATATACTGCCGGACTCATCCAGTGGTGTCTCCTGGCTGACTGCCCCTGGGTGACGGCGCATGCCTCGGCGCTCAGGGCATCTCCCCGAAGCAGGTGCACACCTAACCCAAAGATGTGCACGCTGCGCTTTTCTCTTCTAGTCCTTCAACTGTCTCAGAGTTAACAGTGGGAACGTGAACCCTCACTGTGTTTTAGGCTCCAGGATTAGAGCTAGAATTAAAACAGAAAGCTATACAAACCAAATTCTGTCATGAATGCTGCTGAAAACAAAACTTTAAAAAATTCAGTAATAATTCCATCTGGTCTTAGAAACAAACATAAATAGTTGCATCTGAATCATACTTTTTACACAAATGCAGTCTGTTTTAATCATCATCCCAACCCTGTTTCAGGCGCAGAGATTCTGAGTGAGAGGGCGAGGGCTGAAGGAGCCCTTCTAATCAAAAGTTCTCAAGCCCGGAGCCCTATTAATGGACGGGGGGAAAATAATTAGAAAGCCAAGAACTGTTAAGAAATGAAACCCCTGGTGGCCTGGGGTTAAGTCTCAGCGCTATCACCATTAAGGCCTGAGTTGAATTCCCGGCCAGGGTGGTGACCCACAAGGCGCTGCTCCCCTCAGCAGTGTATTTCAGTAAAAATCTGCCAGCTCTGCTCCCTACTGTATGTCCTGTGAATCCTCTCACCCCCACACCTCTGCCCTATGTCCCAGTTTTCTAAGCAAAAAAAACCCCCAAAAAACAACACCAACAAAAAAAACAGAAAAAGAAAAAAAGAAATGAAACAGAAAACATCGATGTAAGGGTAAGGGCTTGGCTGATGTCAGGAGATTGCTATTCCAGGCATGTGTGCATGTGTGGCTACAGACTGGGTTGTGATGCAAAAAGGATTCTCACTGGGTGTCCTGTGTCAAGAAAACACGAAAACTTGAAGTTAGTATTCCCTAAAGTATTTTAGTGACTATGTCAAAACCAGATTTTATGAAAACATATTTGCTAAACACAGAATACTACTTGTTCCTGAAGACTCACTATGTGCTTCTCCTGAAGCATACGAAAGGGCCTAACAAATGGAGGCTAGAAACCTGTTAAAAACTTTGTTCAATCCAGCTGTCCCTAGACTTATTTGACTGCAAAATCCTTTTTTGAGCAACACTAACATCCTGCAGAACACTCTTTGAGAAATGCGTTTCTAGGTGAACGCTGCCAGGAGCCCGCCGCCTGAATCACCTGCTGAGTCAGCCGCTCTCTCTCCTTCTCTAGCATGTAGGTCACGTCATCTCCCTCGGCTGTGTCCTGTGCGTGCCTTTGCCTTTCTTCCTCAAGGTCGAGGATCACCTTTAATGAATTTAAAGGGAAAAAAGTCACTTCCAAATATCAAAAAATCACGTACAATACAATTAAATACGAAGTGCCTATGAAGCACCTAAGATAGTTCTAGAAATAGATAAATAAACCCCCAGTCAGGGCCACCACGGAGCACACTGTCCAGCAGGGTGAAAGACACGCAGCTACGTGCTAGGGAATGGTCAGGTGTCTGCTTTACTTGAGCTAAGCACAAAATGGCCTGTACACAGAGATGGGGGCAACTAATTGGCTGCAGGGGTTGAGAAGCTTCAGAGAATTAATAGGTCCAGGACCCTGCGGGAGACAGATGAGGGGGGTGAAGGAAGACAGGGCCGCAGGAAGCTGAAAGCTGAGGGTGTCCCCACAATCCTCAAGTCACTGGAGGCACCAAGAGGGAGCCTGAAAGCAAACATTTCAAATAGATGACGTCCTAACTGCGCCTGCCCAATCAGTAACACGCGCTCTGCACGTAGGGAGTGACGAGAAGTAAAGACTCTTCATCCCGCACGTTGAAAGGCCCCATTCCACTTCTCCTGGCGCCAAAGGATGAAGCCCAAGTTAAAGGAAACTACAAATTTAAGAGGCATTTCCATCTGACCCTGCCTACAACTTGTTCCCATATTCCAAAGGGCAATGACTTTCTTAGTAGCTGTGCTCAGGCTTCAGAGGAGCCCTGTCATCCCAGCGGCCATTTCTCATTATTTTTTCTCTACAAACATCTTTTACGAATGGAGAGAGGAAATCTCCTGGGTCATGAATTTCTCACACACACACACAAAAAAAACGAACAACCCCCCCCCCAACATTTTCATGTACTTCCAGTTTTTAAAAAACAACTAATTTTTCAATTTAATAGAAAGACAATTGTAGATCATCACCTCTTTCTTCTGAAAACCTCTCAAATTACAGAAATAGAATGAAAAGAATAAAAACGCAGTAAGCACAAAGTGCTGATAACATTTGAAAGAGGGGGCCTCCCTGGTGGCACAAGGGATTAAGCACTGCACCATGAAGCAATCCACAGCCTCTGCAGCACGAGTTCGATCCCCGGCCAGCCAGGGAGCAACCCATCCACATGGCAAGGCAGACCTCTCCTGGCTCGCCCGCTGCTCCCCTCAGCAGTGTACTTTGGTCAATCTGCCTGTTCTGTTCCCCACTCTGTCTCTGGTGAATCCTCTCACCCTCCTGCATCTCTGGCCTGTACCGCAGCTCTTGTATGCATAAATAAATAAATCTTTAAAAAAAAAAACAAAACATTTGAAGAAGGAAAAGGCTGGATTAGAGGTAACTATTACACTTCAGCCTGTGGGAGGAAGCTACTGTGCTTCCTGGGCCCCAACGAGATGTGGAACCCAGAGGAGGCAGACACTGCAGCAGAGAGGACGAAGAGGGACGAAAGTAAGGGCACTGACTCAAAGTCTGTCCTTGCAGAGTGTACGGTAAGTGATTTTCAGGCTTTTCTGCCCTCCCGTCATTAGGATTGGTGATGGATCTGCGGTCCTGAATGCATGCCTGATGGTGGGCACCTGCGGCAGAGTGTGGGTATGCGTAAGTAGGTACACCTGGGCTAAGAGACTGGGCTTATAAGGGCGGCGTCACAGGGACGTGAGTAGAGCAGAGAGCAGAAGAGAATGAAAGAGTGAAAGGAGCAGAGAAGCAGAGACCACCAGAGAACGCCGGAGAGCAGAGAAAGCATGAAGACTTGCTGGGGGCCGGGAGGCCTGCCAGCCTCCCGGCCCCCAGTACCCCTTGCCAGCCAGGTACCTGGTAAATACCAATAGAAGCCTGCAAAAGCCACCGAGGGCTCTAGGACTCTTCTCCTTTACCCTGTCTGCTCGGGTTATAGAGATCCTGCCCTGTGTCATCCTGCCGTTACACAGGAATTAGTTCCTTGGCCCCTCAACTTGATTCCTGCCCATAGACTGTCAGCAGCCACCACCTACTGTCCAGGCCTAAGCCAGATGTTTCTCCCCCGAAGAAACAGAATGAGGGGCCCTTCCTGGTGGCACAAGGGGTTAATTCTTAGCATTATGAAGCTAGCAGCAGCCTCTGCAGCATGAGTTCAATCCCTGGCCAGGGAGCAACCCACATGGAGCAGCAGACCTCTCCTGTCTCGCCCACTGCTCCCCTCAGCAGTGTACTTCGGTCCTTCTGCCTGCTCTGCTCCCCGCTCTGGCTCTGGTGAATTCTCTCGCCCTCCCGCGCTTCTGACTGTACCCAGTGCGTGTATAAATAAATAAATCTTTTTTAAAAAAGAAGAAAACAGTAGTTCCCGAGTGTTGGGGAGAAGAGGGATTGGGAAGAAGAACTAGGGAACTCTCTGTATTTTTCATAAACAAGCAAAGGAATCATGTAATTTTCTGTTCAAACCACCGCACTTCTGAGAGTCCAAGGGGCAGAGTTAGTAACTACACCAAGCAGTGGGCATCAGCCGGGACTCGGGCAAACTGGGACTAGAGCACCCTCATATAACCCGCCACCAGCTACTTGACGTCTAACAAAGTCACTTCCGCTTTGGCAAAACACTTAACAGAAGGCAGTTGGTTAAGAAAATTTAACACTCATAGAATCTTACATGGAAATACAGGTTAAGGAATTTTTTTTTTTTGAGGGAACAGATGCTCAGGGGAGGCAGCTGCTGCTCCCTCTTCTCCACAACTCACCCCAAGTGGAGGGGGGAGCCCTTTGGGTGTGGACTGCACCTGCCCTCAATGCCACAGTGAGTTTGAGGAATTTTGAATTCTTTTAACTTCTCCGTCGCCCCAATTACCTAGAGCCACACATGACACCAACACCACACGTCCTGTGGGCACGCCAGCCAGTGTGCAGAGTAACTCACCTGTGAGCGGAAGGCTCGCCTCTCAAGGATGTTGTGGAGATTTTCTTAAAGGATCCCAAATTTCAGCTACTAATTCCAACCCACAGACACCTTCAGATTACTCATTCTAGACCAGATGTTAAACTTTTCTGGGTATTAGAAAATTTGGAGAACTCAATTAAAAGTAAGAAAACAATTCATTTTTTACAAAAATGCATAAGCTTTTGGCATTCTATGTATTTTCTGGAGTATCACGGAATATCTGTGTCTCATCCATGGTTAATAACCTCCATTCTGGCCTTTCATTTGAATTGGTGCAGGGAAAGAAAAATCTTGCATGAAAAAACCCTAAGCAATCTGTCCAAGGTGTTTTAAGCAGATGGTGCTCCAATGCAGGTAACCAGAAAAGCAAATGATGGTCCATTAAACTGCAGCTGCTAATCCAATTTTTTAGAATCAAATGTTTTCAACAAAATGCACTCTCTTTTTTGGTATAAATGTAAACTGATAGTTTAAAAAAATGTAGATTTTAGCTAAACACCTTTTATAGGCCAGTAAATGGCAAGTAGTGGAATAAAATCACAAGCACCAGAATTCCAATGAGATGAGGTGGAGGAACGCACAGGTTTGCCTTCCTAACTTAGGGGTTGCAAGACCTGGAAACTCTCTCTCTCTCTTCCTGAATAAGGGAGAACAGCTTTAAACAACCCCAGGGATTGTTTATGGTTTCCTGAGAAGTGAATGAAATGAAACTCAAAACTAGGAATACATTAATCTATTGGCTGGTTTGTTTATAGACAGGAAAATTCTCTTTTTTTCTCTCTCTCACATAGCATTCCCTAAATACCTGTTAATCTTTCTATTTATCATTTGGGTAAACAAAAAGGAAATGCTCTGCTCAGCTATTAGTTTGGTCAAACCCCCACTTGTCGCCAAAGTCTGGATGATTAAGAGCTGAAGAAACATACCAAATATTCCTGAGTGTCCTATCAAGAAGGAATGCCATCTTAGATAGTGTGTCTGGCACACTCCCTAAAGTTAACATTTGCAGTAACCTGTGTTTTTTGTCTTCACGCTCCTAGGTAAGCTACTGGGCTTTTTGACATCTGAGACCTTCCAGCTGAATTCATGTGAACACTGGCAGCTGCCAAGTAAGTACTAGGCCTTATTTATCAAATCGCCACATACCTTGCGGTGTCTGCTCTCAGCGGCGGCCAGCTGGGACAGCATGCGCTCCTGCATGTTTTTGCATTGCTTCATCACCACCTTGAGAATGGAGAGGGGGTTTGTGCAGACTGGCTGCTTTTCGCCATCATTTTTCTCCTTCAGTGTCTCAAAGTCTCTCTGTAGGGCCATTAAAGGATCACTGATGTTATATTTTCCATAGCGTTCTTCAATGAAAGTATCTCTGTGTTGGGCCTGGAAAGAGGAAAAATAAGCATTTTGCTTATTAAAATTATCGAGCAGGGGGATCTACTAGTGATTATAAATTAAAGGTGGTGTTGTAGGAATGTAACCTGTGAACTACAAATCAGATCGATCATTTACATACAGAAAACATCAGAAAGGTGGCATGATAGAGCAAGAGAACAAATACGCAGACTGTGCTAACCATGTATGAGACATTGTTGTGAAGCCAGGGCCCTGCAGCACAAGCTGAGGTGAAGACTGGCTCTTTGCCACTGGTAAAGCAGTGGTGGTTTTGTGCCGGGCCCCAAAAGCTCCTTGCGGGCAGTGCAAGTGGCAGCGGGTGGTGGGCATTTTACCGCCTGCTACCACTGGGGCCCAGGCTGCAGGTAGAGGCCAGCTGTGATGGTGGATGGCTTGAGGCCTCTACCATGTCACCCCAGGGCGTACAGCCCCTGGCTCAGGGCTGCCGGGAGAAGCACAGCCCCCATGGGCCAGCTCCAGTGCTGTGGCTCCTCCAGCTGCAGCCTGTAGAGAGGCCTGTGGATTTCGTGCCTGGATCGCAGAATGGACCCATCAGGTGCAAGCTATGAGCTTACTGGTGCTATGGCCCAATCAGCCACGGGATTGAAAATGGCCCAGTCAGGTGGGGGCCCCTGAAAGAGTATATAAGGCAGGGCAGGAACCAGCCTAGAACAAACTAGGCTCTGACTGACTCTCTGAGGGGCGCTGTTCTGGCCTCCAAAGACAGAAGGTGAAAGGACAAGCAGCCGAGAAGGCAGAAAAGCCAAAGAGAAGCCGAAAAGCTTTGCAGAGGCTGGGGGTCACTGCCGTCTGGCCCTGCCTCTGACACCACCTGAAAGGAGCACCAGAGGCCCTGGGCCTGGTGTCTCAAAGGGCTGTTGGTTGCTGGTGTGGGCCAACAACTCACAAAGAATTTTAACACGATGTTTCTGACACTGGTGGCTGGTGGTGGCCAGCACTGTTGACAGGTGACTGGCACTGTGTCCGGTCACCTCTAAGAGCTGTTAACTGCTCCTGATAGTCTGCACCGCCTCCTAGTGCTGCTGCCTCATTTGCTGTCTGGCCCAGCGTCCAGTGCTATCAAGTCCCATCTCCAGGCTGTGGCTGCTGCAGCGTCATCTCAGCAGCTCCACCTGTGAGCACCTCCAGCTGAGGGGAGCTGGATCCTGGCCTCTGCCTGCCGGCTGCCTCAAGCTCTAGGCCCTCACTGGTGTGACAGCAACTTTTGTTTAGGACTTCTGGACACTGTGGACACTATCTGGGGTGAGATAAATGGCTGCCTGTGGCCTTAGAACGCTTTGTTTCCCCTGTTTGCTAAATAAACCCCATTATTGTTGTTCCCTGAGCGTCAGTGGTCTTGCAATTGTGTGCGTGGGTGAGAACCCACAGTGACTTGTCCTCCACCTGGCCACTGTCCTTGACCCTTATAGCCCCCCCCCAGCACTCTTTCGGTTCTAAGCATTCATATTTATATTAACTTATTTAAATGTTACAACCCTAAAGGCAGTGCTGTCATCTCCACTTTGCAAATGAGAAAATTATTCACAAAGAGGTCAAGTAACTTTTTCCAGGTTAGTCATCCAGAAGCTGTCAGCACTGGGATTTAAACCCACGCAGCCTGCTTCTAAAGTCTGTGTCCTTAACCACGACGTTTACTGCTTCTACTTAATATTTTTATCTTTTCTGTTATGGCATCTGAATTTCTAAAATACCGTTAGCGTGATAATTTTGAGTTTATATATTCAGACATCTAACCAGGTGGCTATAAAGGATATGAAAGAAGTATTTCCATAATGTAACACAGGATGATCTGTGACTAGTACATGCAGAACCTCACTCAGTTCTTGGTGGGGTCAGGGTAGAAGTGGTCCCAACTACAGGAGACAAAATCCCTTCTACCTGCTGCTAACTTCCACACTCTTCTAGTCTGTTCCGTGGCTACCTCCCACTCTCCTTTCTGCTCCCGTCAGGGCTCAGGGAGTTTGGCGGATGAGAGAGAGAGAGGAGGAGCAGGGAATGTGGGCCCGTGCAGGCGGGCAGTGGGGAGACACTCAGGCTTCCTCGTCTCCAGTTGCTCCTAGGAAGCACCTTACAGGTGGCACTTCATGAGCACCACGTATTATGTGCGAAAGGACAGAGTGACATTAACAATTATTTCACTACACTGAAAAGTTTCCTGAGACATTTTATAATTAAAAAAAGCCCTGTTAATTTAGCATTGAGGAAACATTCTCAAATGGACTATGGTGGAAGACTAGGAGTGTTTGCTGCGGTGTGGTGATATACATCAGAGGGGTGTGACCCTATTCCTCTGACTCACAGTGTTGTAAACCAATGTTAGCTCAATTTTAAAAAAGCATGGCAAATTACTATATAATACATGGTTTCAAATGAAATCTAGTTATGGAAATTGTCATGTATCAATTTAAAAAAATTATTAGGAGCTATTTTCTTACCACCACAGTCTATAAATAGGAAGCCAACTTGAAAGGAAAGGGAAATTCACAGTTTAATTGCAATGCGTAAAAGAAAAACCCACAGGAAATTAAAGCAAACGTGTAGTTTCTATAACACAGAAATCTTTTTCAGTGTTGAAAATCTGATGTCTCCTTATTCATTAGACTATCCAAGTTCAAGATCCAGGAATCACTGAGCCTTACGCTACTGATTTGTGTTGCTATCAGCTGGCAATTGTTCAAAGCAGAGTTGGAAGCCTTGGCTTTTACTTCTGGCTTGTCTACAACCATCTTGTGCGATGACATTATTGGAGAATTGTCATAACTATATAATTTGTACACTGGAAATAAGACGAGCGAAACAGTTTGTTCCTTTAAGTTACAGATAACCATCTCCTAACCCTGACATAAGCATGTGTGTGCACCAGGGAGCATGAATTATAAGGAAAGGGACTTGAGCGAGTCTAAGACAAAAATCCTACTTTTTTTCAGCTCTAAATTAAAAACTAAATTCTTAATAAAATTTCAAATAGTCCCTAGGTCTATTCTTAATTGGCTGTTTTATTTTTTAAAATCATGGGAATAAAACTAGCTTTCAGTTACAATTTAAAGGCAATCATGACAAACAACATGAGACTAATCAGTGTTCTCCTCATTAAGAGCCTGTTTCTTTAAGCTCGGTATCACTGCATGAGCTTGCTAACCCAGGACCCATTGATGGTATTTACTTGAAGCTATTAATGTGTTAGGGCAAATTAAGTCAAAAAATCTCTTTTTAAGAGTTTGAAATTCCACTTTTCTTCTTATCCATGATAACCATTTTTGCATGATTAGCAATGATAAAGGACTAATAATTTGACACTAAAATAGATTGAATAAGGCAAAAGAAGCAGAAAAAGTAACTCTGAACACTTTATCACCTTTTCCCTTTCAGAACACCATGAAGAAAGCAGGATGGGACAGCAGGAGCTGGGAGTACATTCATGACCTTGACATCTGGTCTGCTGAGAAGCTGTCCCTCAGGTTAAATATATAGTTAACTAATCTTTAAAAATATGACTCTTTAAAACCGATACTGTGATTACCTTGTATAATTAATAAGCATCAGAGAGTTACAAATAATAGATGAGGAGCTTCTTAGGTAAGGTCTCAGCCTTCTCTGACAACAGTGGTTAAGCTGTCTGTTTTCTCTTGAAGTACTTTACAGTAATTCCATAATCACTTGCATAGTAATTACAGGTTATACAAAATTGGTGGCTTTGCACATAAATGAAAAGAAGCTGTGGAATAATCTAAAAAAGGCTCCCAGTTACAAAAACAATCCTTTTAAGTACATTCTAATATGGGACCCACATATGGGAAAAATGATTTCAGTCAGTATTTATCATACCGAACAGTAGACTGAAAAAATGGGAGGTGGGATAAGGTATTTTCTAACCAGCTTAATGACTCAGGTGAATTGTATGGATGACAGGTCTAACAGCACAAATAATAACCACCAAAAATGGGTAAGACTTGAAGAAGGAACGCTTAAGCGGCAGTGCAGACTGGTTATCAATTCCTACGTAACACGTTAGTCCAAAATTTAATAGCTTCAACAGTAAACATGTTTTTAATCTCACAGAACGTATTTCTGAGGAACTGGGAAGGTCTCGCCTTCTCTGAGAACAGTGGTTAAGCTGTCAGTTTTCGCTTGACTCTGAGCTGGCCCCGTGTCTCATGAGGCAGCAGTCAAGTCTGTGGTGAGGGCTCAGTCATTTGAAGGCACAACTAGGTCTGATGGAGTCATTTCCAAGCTGGCTCACGTGGCTGCGGGCATAGCCTTGATACTGAGCATGTGCTGCTTCCCACAGAACGTGCCCTCACATGCAAGAGGGAAGCAGACACACCTGCCAAGACGCGAGTCCTAGTGTCTTTTATAACTTAACCTTGAAACGGCACATTATCACTTCTGATGTATTCTGATGGCCACACAAATTGACCTCAGTAAACATGGGAAGGGTGATACAAGGGTGTGAGTTTCAGGAGGCGGGATCGTTGGGGCCATCTTAGAGAGATCTAAGTCTCTAGACTGAGTATCAATACCAAAAACTGCCAAGGCTGGGTTTTAATACTTTGGTGATGTTTCAGCTACTTCATAAAAAATTTAAATGATCTGGATTTGACTTTTTGGGGGAGAAGTTCTGTAATATAGTTAAAATCATCCATTTCTTTTTTTTTTTAAAGATTGATTTATTTATGCATACAAGAGCTGGGGTACAGGCCAGAGGTGCGGGGGGTGAGAGGACTCACCAGAGACAGAGTGGGGAACAGAACAGGCAGATTGACCAAAGTACATTGCTGAGGGGAGCAGCAGGCGAGACAGGAGAGGTCTGCCTCTCCATGTGGGTTGCTCCCTGGCCGGCCAGGTATCAAACTCGTGCTGCAGAGGTTGCGGACAGCTTCACAGGTTGTGTCTTAACCTGTTGTGCCACCAGGGAGGCCCCCAAATCATCCTTTTCTTGCACTTTTATTACTTTCACTTCAATAACCATATACTGTACTGAACAGATATTCCTACATTGCCAGACAATGTGATAGTTTTTAATTTCAGACAACAGGAAAATAATTGGCTGGCTAGACAGATTCAAGATAGAGCATATACAGCAGGAAAAACACATGGTCATCTACTACTCATTTTTACTGTCATGGGCTGGATAAAATCAACTACTACTGAAATCTGAAAATCACATAATACTCTTGAAGTCTGCTATGCTTGCTCTCCAAAATTTCAGCTTGCCTGTAATTAGCTTCAAAAAGAAATGATTCATTCATCTTCTGTCCCCTCCCCAGTATAATTTATGTTAATTATGTGTATGTATAAAATGTATAGTAATATAAAGAGTATGATAATAAAATATATACATGAAAGTATAAATGCTATTTCCTACAGCTAAGTGTATATTTCATTCTTAAAGTAGGAAATCTGTTTTTTTTTAAATAATAATGAAAAATGATTCCAAATCTAAGGAAGGCCCTTCTAACTAGGGTTTTATATTCAAATACAAAGCTTTATTTTCAAGACTCAAGCTGGTACCACAACCAGCGCAGGACGAACCTTTGCCTCTTTGCTGTGTTTGCCAATTGTGAAGTGGTACTTTTAAAAGCAGTCAGCAATGTAAACATTGTGCCTTCAAAAATATCTAAACACCTCCCTACCAGGGATAAGAAAGACAAAGAACATGATTCTAAGATGGTTTTTAATTATCTACCAAAGTCTGTTAAAAACAATTCTTTTCATATACAAGCTGAATCTAATCTTCAAATAATGTACACTCTGGAGTTCCTGATGGGCTATAAATAGCCGCTTGAGCAACGGGAAATAGTGACCATTCTGGATAATGATGATAACATTTTAAGTATATGCCCTTTGTTCTGGAAGTTCCTTTTCACTTGCTGAAGGAAAACTGATATTTATTATTTGCCAATACTTTTTTTTAAAAGATTTATTTGTTTATGCATACAAGAGCTGGGGTACAGGCCAGAGTTGTAGGGGGTGATTCACCAGAGACAGAGTGGGGAACAGAACAGGTAGACTGACTGAAATACACTTATGAGGGGAGCAGCGGGCAAGACAGGAGAGGTCTGCTGCACCATGTGGGTAGCTCCCTGGCCAGGGATTGAATTCACGCTGCAGTGGCTGTTGATAGCTTCATAATGCTGACACTTAACCCCTTTGTGCCACCAGGGAGGGCCTATTTGTCAATATTGTTATAAGAGTAGATTTAGCCTTATTTGTTTTAAAATTTAGTTTTTGGAAAATGGTACAAAATTTAACATGGGGATAAAGAGGTAAAACTTCATGATTTAAGAAATAGTCTAATACAGTACTAAAAATTTGGTACTCCTTCTACTTAATCACAAATTCTATATTCTCCGTTCCAGCCTTTCTTATACATTTATTATCTTTAATTTTTTTTTTTGGCTTTAGAAGTCTAACAGGGCTGTATTTTATCTACTTTATATCTGTGTTACATTCATCAGCTCACTTAACTTCTCTGTGACTCAAGAGTCCTTTGAGAGAAATAATCTACCTATAGGTTGTTGTAAAAATTAAACGAATATTATAAAACATTTCCTGTATTACCTGGAACATAGTAAGTAATGAATTAACTTTTCAATAGCCAAATTAGATTATCAGCTTTTTAAAATTTTAGACCCAATGACTAAGCCTATCCCTGAAGATTTAAGATCCTATAAAACTGGATTGGTTCAGGAAATCTTCACTAAAATAAAACAAGGTTTTCCATCCCCAGATAACTCCAAAGTAATACATCACTTAAAAGGATGGATAACCAATAATGCAATCTATACTGCTCACTTAGCAACTGATCCTGAACTACTATTGACATTTTATGTGATGTAGTCCACTGGTATTTAGAGTAGATTCTGCTTTACAATACTAATTTGTTCTACAGACAGGATTGTACGGTGAAAATACTGGAATGTGAACCCAATAATACACTGATATTGCATAATTCATTCTAAGATGGCATGATTTGAAAAATTTGGCACACTGTTAAGCTTATATAAGACTGATTTATACACTAAAACCAAAAAATACTGAATTTCATTTTTATTAACATTAAAAAGATGAAATTAAAAATAAGTAACTTAAACTGGTAACAGTTATTTAACAATCACTCAGAATTTGCTAGTGGAGTAGATGGGAAAAACCAAATTTTCATACCAACCCCCTAACTTTTTTACCATGACTGTTTTTTTATGACTTCTTGTTACAACTTGATTGAAACTCTCTTTTCAACATGCTCTTTGGGAACCAACAAATGTTATAAAACTCTACAAACCAGAAGTCAAATACCCCAAATGTAAAAAATCAAAAACAAAACATCTCTGTGTTATCAGTTTTAGCATGAAAGCATCCATGACTGAAAATTAAAACATTTCTGTACTTTACTAAAAAGACTGTGGACCCGTCAAAATGATAAAAAGACCATGTTGGCTCACACGCTAACAGTTATGCCCAACCCCCATGGTCTAGTTGGCGGCAATTGTAATGTGAATATTAAATCGTAAAGTGGTATTTTAACAAGGAAGGACTCATCCTAGAGTGATGTGATCGTATAGTTGACCTGTTGTAAAGCAGGGATCTACTGTATTTCGCGCATTATTAAACACTTCCCATTTTTGTCTCTTTTTTTCTTCCTACCTAGACTGTAAGTGACTCAAAAGTAGAAGCACTTTTCATATGTCATCTTCTTTCTAGATCCTATATTCTGTCTTTATTCCAAGACACTCAACAGACATTTACTTTCCAGCCTCTTCCCTGATGTCTCGGCCTCTCGTCACTCTCATCATTTTAGTGATGTCAATGTTTTATTTTGCTGTTAGTAAAAGCTACAATTTACTTAGTATAATCATTCAAAGTTAGCAAACTGACTTTGAAGTAGAATGAGCCTCAAAAATGCCCTTTGCAATCAATTTGCAACCACAGATATTTATAAAAGCAATTATTTACATAAGGACAGATGATCATTTATTATTACTTGGACTAAAGTATACTAAATTCTATTGAAGACTAAAAATGGTACGCCTAGTACAAATAGCTATAAGTGTGGTACTTTTAGCTAGTAGGCTGCTTTGTTGATAGAATAAGATTATGAGTAAACAGCACAATGCAGCCGCTTCAACATTCAGATTCCAAAAAGTTCTGTGAAAACCCCTAATGAAACTGAAATAGTGTTGAACTTTTTTTGTTCTTTGTTCCACTTTATTTTTTAGTCTATATATGTGGTTAAAACAAGCCACACATACACTCTGAACTGTAGAATACGGCTCTGCAGGGGAAGAAAATGTATACAGGGATTCAAGAAGTACTGAACACACACAAGATCTGAACATACGTTAAGGATTTTAAAGTATACTTTTAAATGATGCATTAGAACCTAATCACTTTTTTTCAGGAGACCATACATCTCTTAAAATATAATGAGTCAAGTTTACCTTAAAATAACACACAAGGA